CTATTAGATCGCCTACCGCTGGCAACAAAAAATACTGCATCAAACCACTAAGACAGCATGAACCATGAGGGACACCGTCCGCTTGCGGCATCGACCAGAAATCTGACAACTCACAGGAACACATCTAGCACAATGAAAGCAAGGAATACTACAAAGCAGAGAGCAATAACCTGTTATTCAATTCATTAAGCAAGGTTGTTTTTCTGTACATCTTATATTTTTATATCTCTCTTCTCAACACAACCAACGACGCCAGGATTGGCGATTTGGCGCATCATTCAGAGAGATAAAAATAAAGCAAATATAACCGAAATGTACAGAAAAACAACTGTTAATGAATTAATACCAACAAGTCTATATGCTTCCTCCTTTTATTTCGCTTGCTTTCATTCTTAGAGTCCTGGTTAATTTTTATCCCAACACTCCTCATTCATTTCTCAGTGGTTTATGATGTTTTTGTTGCAGTAGATAATAATAGTTTTACCTCTGTCACAAAGAAGGGGAGAACAAACATGAGTTGTAACTAAAAATGTGTTTATTTAAGAAAACTAAAAGAAAAATGAAGCTAAAGACAAACAAATTTAACCAAACAAAACAAAAGCTCTTTGAGGGAGAGACCTGCTCATAGGGTCACACCTCATAGTGTAAATGATATGGACCTCAACATTTGTCAGTGACACATGTCCCATTGGGTCCTGTAGCGTAGATGTACTGAAGAGGTCTATACCACAGTAAATCTGACTCCTTGCAGAGATAGGCCTACTTTCTGATATTATGATTACTGGTTTCATGGTGGGTGATGGTGTCCCCGTGGGTTGCATTCAACATACAAACATTCATCAAGCTCAAAGTCTCTATCTCACTTGAAGCTTAGACGACCTTTGATCAAATAGAGTAGCCTTAAAGTTTGGTCTTGGGGAGGATTTTATTAACTTTATTAAGCTGATATACTATTAACTCAGGGCCAGTGCACTGGTTAATGGCAGAAAATCATTATTCATTAGTTATTGTGGGAGGCTCACCTGTCTTATTTTTGTGCTAGGCATCAGATGTCTAGCTGAAGCCAATTGGAGACACAACAGGAAATCTAAATAAGATCTATTACATATTAGATAAACTATCTGAGATTATATGAATAAAATGTATACATTCTGAGAGTAGATTTTCCCTACAACACTAAACTGTGGCTTATGCAGTTATACAATAATGCTAAATGTAATGGGATATTTGACTGAAAGGTTCCTGGCATTTCTGTGGAACTGGGCTGATGCAGAACTCCACTGTGTGTCAGAGGGAGCCAACCTGGTGTCTATCCACAGACTGGAAGAAGAGAATTTTGTCAAAGCTCTGATCAAGAACTTTGACCACGCTAAAGGACGCAGTTGGATCAGACTCAGTGACATTCATAAAGAAGGCAGATGAATGTGGTCTGATGGAAATGAAGTTAATTTTGTTTTTTGGAGTCCTAAAGAGCCCAACAACAACAAGTGGAGTTAAAAACTATGTTCATAGCAACTTTGAAAAGGATCTGAAATGGAATGACGTCCCATGTTCAGTTGCTTATTCTCTGTTTGTCCATCTCATCCTTAGCAACTGAGACAGTTACAGATTCTACCTGGACACTGTTCACATGCTGTTCTGTTGACATGCATTAGACCTCCACAGTATAGATACAATTCTACACTTCTATCTGTGTGTACAGCATTCATTTCATAAACCTTAATTTTCAACATGCAGATGATGTCTCATTGTTTATGAGACCAGCTTTACCAGCTTTAATATCAGTCATACAGGCCTTTAGCTTTGTCAGGACATGAAATTTGTTTTGATAAATAAGTAGGGGTGTTAATGAGTATATGGCCAGAATATACTGATGTATCCACACTTCCTGTTTCTTGGTTCACGGTAACTGTGGATTTTTATATTTCTGGATAGCTGTAACTCCAAATATAAATTACCTATTAAGGCTTAGCACAGTAATTTAAGGTGTCAAAAGCAATCTTATTCAATGCATTATTTATTTATTTATTTATTTCATGGATAGAAAGAAATGTAATAAAAGTGAATGTTTTACCCTGTCTACTTAAGAAAAAGAACCGACAACATCCTTATGGATCTATGGCGCCTTCTGAGGAGTCACTTGCCAATTTATCTGAAGGACTTGGAAAGGGTGAAGGACACATTGGATTGAAATGTTCCTGGCATTACTTTGGAATAGATATCAGATGTTGTTTTATCTATATCAGTAACGATAATCCATAAACTTTCTTTCTGTTTTCTTGAGTGCTGCAGCATAGGTGTACTGAAGAGCTCTGGTGAAGACCCACTTTGCCATTATACTGTCTTATGAACCGCTTGGTCCTCGAATCTGCAATAAAACACTCATGCTTAAAGACTTTAGGTCTAATCCCTTGGTCTCATCAACATTTCCTTGAATGACAATCTGGCCAGAGCTATATGGAACATTAACGGGTAAATGTAAGAGTCAAGTCTCCCGTTGAAGGTGATTGAGACTATTCAAAGCCTGAGGGTGCTGTCAAAGTTCTGTTTCAGGTGTGTTATGCTTCCTGCAGGATTTACTGGACAATGGTAAAGCTTTTTCAACCATTAAAGTTTATAAGTTTTGTTTTGAAGCAAAAGCTTCATTGAAGCAACAAACACTGGAGAGAGAAACCAGACTGCAACAAGGCCAAAAAGATTACAGAGGGTTTATTATTTTACATTTTGTGTAAAGAAACTAAAAAAAAATCATAAAAGAACAGCTTTGACAAAAATTCATGTCCCATGTTCAGAGGTTCAACAATGTGGAAGTGCATTCTTGAGAAGAAAAGATCTTGGCATGTAAAAATTGTTATTATGTTTTGTGGCCTTTTGTGAACTGGGGAAACTTTTTAGCTTCCAAAAATGTTTTTAATGTTTTATTATTTTTTTTGGAGGCTAAGCCTTATTCCGTGCACTGCTACCTCTCAGGTTTGAGACTAAATTACACAACAGTTATTCCAAATTTAGGTCCCACCTCTGATAGGGCAGATAGCCAATCAGATTTCAGGAGTAACCTGTGGA